GTGGGCGGCTCCGCCGAGGCCGCGCCGCGCCGCCGCCACGTCGGCTTCCGGCAGCCGCGATCAACAACCGGGGCAGCGCCCGCCGCCGGCAGCGGCATCCGGGGCAGCGCTGGCCGCCGCCGCAGGTGAGGGCGTGAGGGGCCGGGCGGGCACGGAGCGAGCGGAGGTGGGGGTGATGGAAGTGAGGGAGTGAGGGAGTGAGTGAGTGAGGGAGTGAGTGAGTGAGGGAGTGAGTGAGTGAGTGAGTGAGTGAGTGAGTGAGTGAGTGAGTGAAATGTGAGTGAGTGAGTGAGTGAGTGAGTGAGTGAGGGAGTGAGGGAGTGTGAGTGAGTAGAAGTGTGAGGGAGTGAGGAGGAGGAATTTGAATGAGGAGTGTGAGGGAATGAGTGTGAGGGAGGAGTGGGAATGAGGGAGCGAGCGGTGAGTGAGGGAGGGAGGGGTAAAATGGGGGCGAGTAAGAGGGGGGGAACGGGATGCGAGTAATTAAGTTTGGTCACCAGTGGCAACGCTAAGAGTTAAACATAACTAAGAGATATGAGGTTATGAGTGTAAAAGAGCGCTTCAAGGGCTCCTCTGTGTGTTTCTCTATACACCTGTGTGTGTATGTGTGTGTATCTAGACACCTGAGAACCCAAGGGCGCCAGCAGTCAGGTTAACATCAGAGCAGGTTAGGCCAGTCCCATCTGACCATGGGAAATATGGAGCAGATAAAAAATTGAAGGATGTAAGAGTGAGAAATTAATTGGCCACGCTTCAGAGAATCCCCTTAATACAGAACCTTGGAGTTATTCTGGTTGGGAAATACCTTGGAGATGACGGAGTCCAAGCCTTAAGTCTGGATTTCCCTCTCCCTCCTCCCGGTATTATCTTCTGTAAATAGTCATGGATGTGCCTGTTGTTTCCCCAAACACTGTTTGAGAACAGGTTTAGCAGTGGCTTTTGTGTGCGTGGTTGTGTAGTGAAGCCTACAGATCTAAAATCTTTATTTGCATAAACAGAGATTGAATTTAACCAGTCAGAAAAAAAAATGAAGCCTAAATGGTCTAAAATTTTTGAGGTAACAGATCTGGGAGGGTTTTGGTAGGGACCAAAGCTGGGGGCAGAGCAGTGGCTTTAATCCCACAGAACAAGAACAAATGTATCTATTTATATTTCCCATGCATAAATCAATTCCTAATGTGCCACAGTTTACAGTAGCCCCTGTGTGTTGTTTGTCATTCCCAGCCCCAAACACAATTTTATAGCGAGGGGCAATGAACACACACCTTGATGTCCACCCTCACACAGACACACTTCAAACATTACATTTCTGGAAGTTTCCAGTCATTGTAATGCGTTTTTATTGCACTGAAGTCGTACACAGGAACGTGTATTATTGCAATGTTTTATGCATTTAGGAAGCAAATGAACCAACAAAGCCTTGGAGACAAAGACAGACAGTGTGGAGCTAGGCAGAATCACAGTACTTAAATAATTAGCATTTTAAAGGGGGAATCAGCCCTGATGGTTCTGGATCCTTACTGAGCACAAGCATCCCCTGCCCTGTTTTAAGGAACAAGAATAAGTCTTTGAGGAAAGAATTTTTAAATCTAAAAAGAATTTTCAGGAAAGCAGAGAGTGCCATTGCACACTTTTACCTTTACAAGTATAAACCAGGAAGGTGTAAAGAACAGAAAGGGCCAACCTTTTTAGGAGAAAAACACACTTTTTTTGCAATTACTGATGCAGAATCCAGGCTGCTACTAAACACACATCCCCTGGATGGGAAAACAGGATGTTATGTGGTGTTTGAAACAGAACCTTTCATATTAAGATATAAAAATATACTCGGTTAAAAGTTAATAAAAATAAAGAGTTTTGAGGAGCAAGACAAGTCCATGCTGGGATGGATTCCATCAGGAAGCCTGGCAGCCTAAACTGGGGGCTTCCCAACCCTCTTGGGATGTCCATACACATCCCTAAGGTTACTGGAGAGAGGGTTCCTTCCTTAATTACCTTCTGTTGGTGAATCCCTGAAATGAAAATCTGTCCTTGCAGCTGGGATTTTCAAAGAGATGGGGGCCACAGCAGCACCTGAAGTAACAGAGATGAGAGTTTCTCTTCTTGCTGTGTTGTGACTTCAAGTCATGCTCTTAGTTAATTTTAGTATTTTGGGGTTCTTCTTTATATTAGGATTGAAAATTAAAACGAGGCACTGATAGGTTATGGCTTGTTTGAGTCAGAGTGCCCAGAGCTTTGGTTTTCAGGGCTTGACATCAGCAGCCAAGGGAAGGAATTATTTCCTTTACAATAAAATGTTTTATCCTCTGCATTTAAGGATAAATTAACATATAAAGGGTGAGATGACTAATTCAGCGGCGTTAACTTTATTTCAGAGGAGTTGAATGTTGATATAAATGTTCTACTACACAATTTAGGCCAACCACTTAAAATTCCTGCGCTGTGGTCTGGGATCAGAACAAACTATCACTTAAATCTAAGGAACTTGTCTCTGCATGCTGATTTTGACCTCAAAAATATCCTAAAGATTTATTTTAAACCTGAAATAATAATAATAAAACACAAAGAGGAGTTTAAGTGGTTGTCTTGAGGTGTAGTCTTTGGGTGAAAAGCTGAGATACCGAATTCAAACTCAGAAGACTTTTGCTGCTCTCCTTTCTTGACTCCTGAAAGAATTATTTTGGCAGTTTTAAGTAACCAACTCCTATTCTGAATGCAGCATTAATTAAGATACGCAGTACTAATTAGGACAGCAGAATACAGAGGAGCATTCCTCCCTGCCACGTCAAAACCCCTCCTCTGAAGCCAGAACCAGGCTGCTGAGGCGTTACTTCACAGACAGTTGAGATTCTGGTGCTTGCTCAAGAGCTCCTTGACCAGTGTCTCTAGGGAGAAGAGGTGCTCATCCACGTCCTCGGGCACGAGGCTCCTGATGGAGTTGGCCAGCTCGAACAGGTATTCCGTGTTCCTGCCGCTAGGCCCGGCGGCGCCCAGGATCTGGCGCGCGATGTCCTCGAGCGGCGCGGGGCCCAGGTAGTTGGGGTTGTCGCGGGTGCCGATGTAGAGCAGCACGTCGAAGGGCTGCACCGACGTGTCCTTCGGGTAGAAGATGACCGTGGTGGTCCTGTAGCCGCCCTTCTCCCGGAAATCCAGGTAGGCTTTCACTTCTCCTTCCTTCCCGGCTGGTAGTCGGTAGGCAACGCCCCACACGCAGCCCTGGGCGAGGAGGGTTGGTCAAAAGGATACTCAGAAATCATTGCATTTAGGCAAAGCTTTCTGGAAACTGATTTTCTGCCCTTCTGCTGCTTTTTGCAGTGTTTGTAAGAGTCCCAGAGTGAAAGGGCTGCTCTACCAGCGAAAACACTGATCACGCAGATTGATCATCCTCTTTCTGCTAAGGCTCAGGTTTTCCTAACACAGCAATTTCTTGTTTTGCTAATATTTGGAATAGTAAATAGCCTCGGTACAGGCCACTCAGGAGCTGGCAAAAAGGACACAGAGTTTCTCCCTGACCTCATAAAGATTATGTCTGAAAATGACAAATTTAAAAAATGATGAATTTGAAGGAATTTTGACTAGGTCCCTTCTGTTTAGTGACAGTCTGGCAAGGACCCGAGGGTCACCTACACCTGTTACACACCTGAACTGGTGTGGAGTGCTGAGATAGCTCCACAGTCTGGTCAAACCTTGTGAAGCTGGAATTATAGCAATTACATTTATCATTCACTGTTGATGTCAAATCATGTACGTTTGATATATCTTTCTATCAAATTCTACATCTCACAACAGGATAGCCAAAGTGGCTATTCCAGAATATACTTTAAAATATCCCTGTGGCAATAACAGACCCAAACTACTTCCAGTTTATATTGATTATTTGAAACAGTCAAGAGCCATTGGTGTAACTCTGGGAAACACTGAGAGAACTTTTCCCTAAAGATAAGACAGTTGTCTGCTCGCAGAAAAGCAAAAATTAATGAGGGGAAATGCAACAGGACATTCTGTACAACAGTACTGTACCTCAGCATCTTCAACCAGGGTCACAACTCTTCCAGGCTAAAATTTAAAAGACGAAATCATCATTCAGTCAGAGGCTTTTGCCCTAAATCATGAGCAAAACCAAACCAAAATGAGAAAAAAAAAAAAGGAACAGGAATTAGAAAGAACTCAGAGAACTAATCCAGCACAATTCCAGTAAGGTGCAGATCCAGTGTAAGTATTTCTGGGGAGTACCTTTGGATGTGTATTAGATAAAATAAACAACATGTTAAATTCTGGGTGGACAGTGCCTGTGACACAATTAAAGGCAGTCAGAAATTGGGAGGGTTTGAATTGAAATTGGGAGGTCCTTGCTTTACATGTGCTGTCCAGACTCAATTCCACTGCAATTTAAAAGCAACAATTAATTAACAATACAATAACGGTGATAATTAAGAGTTTCATTAATGTAAAACTGTCCTCAAGGAGCCCTTGGAGCCTCACTGGACGGAGGGAGGATACCTCCCTTGTTTTCCCCAGTATATTAATTCTTGCAGGAAAAAGTAAGAAGCCAGTTTGTAAATACTGGAAATAAAATAGTTGAAGTTTGTTGCATAAAACTTTAAAACATAAAACCCTATGGTGAACTACATCTGCAGTTTAAAATTGCTGCTTTTGGCAGCAAATTAGTTCTCTCCCAGCATGAGCAATTTATTCCTGATCTAACTGATAAAAGAAGGCAATAAAGCTACATGAACACTAAATGACTCCTATTTCCTGAGGAGAAATGAGTCTGTTCCCATGATACATTAAAGATAACTTTGTTGTTCCTGTTGGAATATTTTTTCCATAGTCATTGATAGTTCTCTGACTTGTGCACTTGCAACAGGTCATGAAGATTTTTGTGAATTATGGATTAAAGAGACATTCTGTGGTGGATGGAAACCAACTTTCTTGCCTTTGCTAAGAATGTCTGTAACTGTAGCCTAAATTCATTAAATTTAATTTAAATCTAATTTGATTTAATATGAAGGGCAGTAGTGAGGAGAACTTCATGTTTAGGTGGGTTGTGTGATGGAAGAAGGATCTGTTTGCCTAAGGAAGGGCAGCATATTTACTTAATTGCTTGCAGAGTCCTTGTCTTGCCTGGAACTACTCAAAACAAACAAGTTACTAAAGATTTATTGAAGTAAGAAACAAGTTACTAAATACTTATCGATCAGAGGAATTAATTACTGTTTGTACTACTGCAAATAATCCTCTGAAAATATTTTTAAAATACAGCCAACATCTAATTTGTTGTATGTTTGTAAGAACTATTTTTTCCTCATGGCTGTTCTTTAATGTGTCATTGGTGGCTCAAGCTGTGTTCTTTGAACTCTGTGCAAGTTATTTTATGGTATTTGAGGTGCTAGAGTGTTGCTTACATCTGGATGGAACCTTCCACGAAGCAAGATGTGTTCTTTAAAATAATCCTGATGCTTTTTCTCTCTTAAAGCCGCTTCAGGTTTACAGCGGAGTCACCTGGGTGCAGGTTATACCTTATCCTTACCCCCGTGGCTTAAAAACACATGACACTGGGAATCCTCACTGGTAATTTTAGTTTCTTTTTCTCGCTGGGTTTTTTTTTTGTTTTGTTTTGGTTTTTTTCCTCCTTTTCCAAACGGTGAAGAATTTTAGGACTTCAAGTACTTCCTAATCCATGAATTGTCACCTGAGAGTAAAACAAGTTAAAATACAGCCGGGGGTTACTTGGACCAATAATTCTGTCTCTTCCTATTCCCTGTGCACAGCCTGACACCCGCCCCTCACCGAGGGTATTTAACGCCCTAAATGACGAGGGCGGGCATTTCCGAGCCCTCCTCGAAGCTCGTTGTGTTGTCCCAGGGTTTGGGTGCAGCCCTTGCGGCGGCTCCGGCCGCGGGGCAGGGCCCTGAGCCGGGCCCGACGCGGCGGCCGCGCTCCCCCCGGCCCCGGCTCACCTTGCCCGGCACGCCGCGGTGGTCGGTGCTGCCCTGCCAGAAGCGCCGGCTGTAGCCGCGGACGCGCCCCACCAGCTTCTCCTGGTAGGGGAAATCCACCTTCCAGATGAGGGAGCCGTAGCCGAACACCCACATGGCGGCCCGGCCCGGCGGGGCCTGCGCAGAGCCGCGGGGCGGCCCCGGGCGGAGGCGGCGGCCGCGGCCGGAGCCTGGCGGGGGCCGGCGCTCTCCGGGCTCGCGGGGAGGCGTTCGCCGGCCCGGATCGCCTCCCCCTAGCCCACAAACGACTGTGTCCCCCAAAACCCACCGGCGAGCACGTCCCAAATCCACAAACAACCTCCCCCAAGCACCTGCCTCGCCCCCCAGTCCTGCAAACAACGATAGCCCCTCAAACACCTTGCCCCAAAGCCCCAGCTACCTCTGCCCTTAAACCCCACAAAGAGCCACCCCTTAGCCCCATAAACAACTATCTCTCCTCCAACTCAACCTCCCCTTAAATCTCCAAACACCTTCCAAACAACCACCTCACCTCAAACCTCAAACCCATCTCCCCTCAAAACCCACAAATGACCTTTCCCAACCCATCCCAATCAATCACCGCCCCCTAAACCCCCCAAGGCACCATCTCCCTACAAACCAAACCAAATCCTCTGCAAAACAAACAAAACCCCCCTCATATCTATATTGTACCAACACGCATCTCTCTTTTTTTTTTTTCCCCGCTCTACTCCTTTCCTCCTGCAGCGTTCCATGCCAGGGATGGATTTCACGGAAGCCTATTCCGACCGGTGCTCGGCCGTGGGCCTTGCGGCCAGAGAAGGAAACGTTGAGATACTGAGGGAATTGATCAATCGGGGATACAGCGTCGATGTCCCGGATAACAGGAGGTGGTTGCCCATCCACGAAGCGGCAGCGCACAATTCCAGTGAGTGCCTGAAGCTGCTCATTGATACAGGTAAGGAAAACCTAATGGGAAATAGTGTGGTTTTGTGCTAAATTACCCTGTCATAGAAAACACAAGTTACATAGATTTATCCTGTTCTTGTTTGGGGATTTTCTGTGTGGTTTCCCAACTGCGGTAAGTAGAAGTTGACACATTGCAGTTCTTGGGTGATACTTGAGGTGATAACAGCGTATTCATGGGTGTTCCATAGGCCACATACTCAAATAACTCCATTATTTTCTTAAAATGATTGTATTTTGTAATTCACTGCCAAGTATCCCTTTTCCCCGCACGTTATGCTCCTCTGCAGCTCCAGCCGATGACTACATCCACTCGAGGACGTTTGAAGGGATGTGTGCTCTGCACCTCTCGGCCCGTCACGGCTCTGTGGAATGTCTCCGGGTTCTCCTGGAAGCTGGGGCTGACCTCGACAACGTCACCACCGAATCTGCCACCACCCCGCTCTTCCTAGGTGACACGAGCTTTCCTCAAGTCCCAGACTTTGAACTCACCAGTTAAAACTCAAGTTTCTTCGAGTTTAAGCTCACCAGAGTTTCTTACTTGCCTGCCGTGTTGCATCTTTTTGTAGCCCTAAATAACCAGGTGTTAGAGGTGTGGAAATAACCTTTTGTTTATGGGTAAATCTGCTTCAGACAGTGTTCCAAAACAAAATTATAAAAGCAAACTGGTTTTCTGCATCAAGCACAGAAAAGCATTAGGAGGTTCAGGATTACATCTGTATGAGGCTGTTTCAAGGCCTTTTTGATTTTTATAATTCCTCCCTAATTCTTGTGTAAAAAGACTTATTTTTGGCATTCCTACTTTGGCAATTAAGGTCCATTATTTTAGCATTTTTTCTGTTACTTATGTTTGACTTAATTTAATGCTTAAAACTTCTGTTATGGTGAATCCTGATGGTCTAAATCATCTGATTAAATACATTTATTGGTTTACTTGCCTCTCTACCCAGGCATCATGCATGTCACATTACCTTTGTTTCCAAGTCTTTTCCAAGTTTGGGGGAATTTTGGCATCATTTCCATTCCCCAATACTGTTTTGGGGATCTAAATATAAAAGGCAAGTCAGTATATAATGGGCAAGTTTAAAGGAATTATGATTATTGTTTCAGAAAGTTGGCAGTGAGACCTTTTGAGCTTTTAAACCCCAATACTTAAATTATTTCTTTTTCAAATTCTTCAATAAGATTTTTTTTTCTTTTTATTACTGTTCTATGGAAGCTGTTGAAAATAAGCATGCAGAGGTTGTCAAGTTCCTGCTCCAACACGGAGCAAATATTGAAGGTTCTCATTCATGGTCTGGATGGAATTCTTTGCACCAAGCTTCCTTTCAGGTAACCTGTGAGCACATCATGTAATTTTGGTGTAACTGGTGTACTCTGGGGGATAATTATTTATTTAATAATTATTGCATTTTTATCGGATAATTTTTCCTAACCTACCCTAGCTTGTACTTAAAAATATGTTTGCTTAATGGTTCTAACACTTACAAATGACTTTATCATGTAAATGAGCAAGAGTAATCAATTTGAACTTGCCTAATTTCTTTCACCATTAATTTTTAAGTGCATCTTCAGAATACTGGTTGGATATATTGTGGCCTTTATTATTTCTGGAGCATGTGGGAAAAAGGCGTTTTGTGATTTCCTCGCTTTCCTGCTGGTTGAGAATAAAACCATTGGTTTCAGGGTTCCACTGACATAATGCAGATGCTCCTGGAGAAAGGGGCCAGCAAGGACTGTCGTGATGACTTTGGAATCACCCCTCTGTTTGTGGCTGCTCAGTATGGCCAGCTGGAGAGCCTGCGGCTGCTCCTGTCCCACGGTAAGCACCATCCTCCATTTCCCTGGCCACGCTCCCACTAAAGTGCAATTGGAGCTCTGCTCCTGCACATCGTCATTTCAAACGTTAGAGGTTGTATTTCCTTATTGCTGAGGAGAAAATGGTGGATTTGAAGCCACCCTGTGAAAGACAATGACTGATGGAGGTGACTTTGGTTTTGTTTTGTGTCAGGTGCAGATGTCAACTGCCAGGCCAAGGACAGGGCCACTCCCCTGCTGATTGCTGCGCAGGAGGGACACCTGGATTGTGTGAAGCTGCTGCTGACTGCAGGGGCAGACCCAAACCTCTACTGCAACGAGGATAACTGGCAGTTACCCATCCATGCAGCAGCTGAGATGGGCCATGCAAAGTAGGTGGTTGCAGACAGGAGGTCCTGGTCACACAAATCTGATCCCCAAAGGAGGAAGTTCAGCCCTAAAAGGGAGGAAAATTGAGTGTTCAAACTGATCTGTAGTTTAGACATTCGTATTATTATTGTATTTTAAATGTCTCTTAGTAGTTTCTTCCACACTGACAGAGAGTAGGTTTCGATGAAATATTAGGGAAAAGTGCTTCCCTGTGAGGGTGGGGAGGCCCTGGCACAGGTTGCCAAGAGAAACTGTGGCTGCCCCATCCCTGGAAGTGTTCCAGGCCAGGTTGCGTGGGGCTTGGAGCAGCCTGGGATAGTGGAAGTGTCCCTGTCCATTGGGGCTACAACTGGATCACCTTGAAGGTCCCTTCCAACCCCACCAATTCTATGATTATATGATTTTTAATTCTGTGTCTAACCTGGGTTTAATCCATAACCTAATGAATTTAGAGGGTTTTCCATGGTGCTGAACTAGATACCAATTCACTCCATGGCCATTTTATTTTCCATTTAAAAATGCAAATAACCCTGTTATACATTATATATGACTTGAACAGCTGCTAATTAGAATTCTGTATTAAGCAGCAGAAATAATTATATGCAAATATTGAATTAGCTGGACCAGCCAGAAAAATCAAAGCCACAAAAACAGTTTCTTTAATCTTTCCAGAGATGCATTTGTAGCTTTGCCCAGTTTCAGATACACAAGTCAATTCCACAGCAGTGAGCCAAGAGTGGAAGGAAGTTTTGGGAGTAGACCACTGGGGAGAAGGATCTCTCAGGAACTCCATGATTCACACATGGACAGCACTTAAATATATAAATGATGATACATCACTGGCAACTCTTATGCAGCACCAGTAAATTCCAGCAGCAAAGGAACTGGTGTTTGTCACTAATGTGATGTGGCCTGGGGTGTGAGCTGTAAACAAAATGATTTTTCTGTTTTACAGAACTAAGAATTCGTTTCATTTGCAACTCACATTTGCTTCCAAAGTTCCTTGGAGTTGGGATTTAATGTGCAGTGGTGTTCAGTTGCTGTAAAAAGAGTTGCTGGGTAATAGGAAGTAGCTGTCCCTGGTTTGGTTTAAAATCCTCCTTTCCAGCCCAAATCCATCCCAAAGCACAACATTTGCCAGGGGTCTGTGTATGGAGTTATAAAGCTGCAAATTCAGGAGTAAAAAGCACGATTTTCTTCCAAAGCTGCAATGACCCTCTGAAAAAATGGCTGTGTGTTTAAGATTAATCACTGCAATAAGATCAGAAAACAGTGGTTTCAATCCTCTGCAGGATACTGGAGCTGCTGATTCCAGTCACTGACCGCGTCTGTGACAAGGGCGAGGGCAAAGTGAGCCCCGTGTACTCGGCGCTGTACGGCGGCGACGGGGAGTGCCTGGAGATGCTGCTCAAGCAGGGCTTCAGCCCAGATGCTCAGGAGTGCCTGGACTTTGGCTGCAGGTCCCCCATGTGCATGATTTTCCAAAAGCAGTAAGCAAACCTCTTCTATTTTGGTATTATTCGTAATCATATTTGCTTTAATTAACTACTTTTAATGTTTCCCACCTTCTTCTCTTAGTCTTCCAACATTTCTTTTAATAGTTTCCCACCTTCTTCCCTCACCTGCTGTCTGTCATCTAATATTTTTCCAGGATTCAAGTGTGTTCCCCCTTTGCTTTGTTTCCTCATTATTCCCATTTCCTTGGGAATATTAATGTGAAGTCCTGGAATGTGACACGTGTGCTGCACTGAGGAGAACATCTTCAAAAACAGCTTTTGAATCCTCTCAGACTTTAACAAATTATTTCTTTGTACACGGATTGAAATTTATTTATGGCGTATTTATAATTTATTTATGGCTGCCATTTAAATTAACGAGGTTTGTTAGTAGTGAATTTAGTTCGTGGCCTGCTCCTAGGAAGCTGCCTTTAAAAATCCTCGGGCACCATTTTTCCCTTTTTGTCCTGGTGTTGCTTTATAAAAAATAATTTAGGAAGGGATGCAGAGCAGGTGACTGCTCTGTGAATGAGGCAGGTAACACACATCACCACTTCTGTGGAGTAATGTGCCCTCTAATCACTAAAAGGCAGCACCAGTCACAGTCTCAGTCCTTACCCTATTACCTTGTTGCAGTGGGTAATGACAAAAGGATTTTAATAAAAACATTCTGAAATGTTTTATTTCAGACTGATGCAAGAAGTGGTAGGTGCTTTCTGAGGCAAAGCTCACGGGATGCCCTGTTCCTTTTCCTGCTCACAGGTATTATCAGTTCATTGATGTCCTTCTGAAATACGGCATCACCCTGCGTGGGGTCAACTTGGCACACTGCCTGTGCCATAAGAAGTTTGCTCTGTTCCGGCGCTTCCTGAGGTTCGGCTGTTCCCTGCCCTCGGAGGAGGAATTAACAGACTTCATCCTCTACAGCAGCACGGTGCAGAAGGAATACAAGGAATGGCTGCCCTGCCTGCTCCTGGCTGGCTTCAACCCCGTGAATTTCATGCGCAGGTTCTGGTAAAGCAGGGAGCCTTGTCTTTATTTACTCAAACATCTCATGCTAGTGTGCAGAGCCGCTACAGGATGGCCCTTGATAATCTGTTGCCACCATCAGGAACGGGAGGGGTTGTGGAAAGTCTGAAATAAATCATTCACACATCATGTCTGGAAGCAGTAAAACAGTTTTCTTTAGGAAGAAAGCCAGACTGGAAATTGCCTTTCTCTAGGGTAGCAATAAAGCATCACTTCCCAAATTTATATCGAACATCTCTACTTAACCCCCAAATTTGGCTGCAAATTGTGCGTGCAATACTTTAATACAGCCATGGTAAGAAGAAATTCCAATGGGAGAAATAGGTCTGGAGGGATGGGAAGCAAATGGGAAGTGAAGCTGGGCCAAGGCTGGGAGGAGAGGAAACGGATGCAGTTTGAGACTGTTTTGTTTAACACAATGTGGCAAAAATTCCAGTCAGATTTTTTATTATTGTTATTATTATTGAAGTTTTTCCACATATGAGCAACAGCTTGGTGATGTTTTATATGTAATTGGGCACTATAGGATTAAACTTAGTTATGAAATTTTTGTACTTTCTGCAGGCTGTAGTAAACACACTACAAGTTTGCAACTCAGTGACTGAATGAATCTCACTGTCCTTGTGTATCACATGTGATGCTTTTTGGTCTTTTGTTCTGGAATCTACAAATACTTTTAAAAGGTGTTTTAAAGAAGTCTTTGTTACACAGGATTTTCTCCATGAGTGAGGATGTCCTTAATTTTGTCCTGGAGTTCATGAATTGGAGCAGACTTCCTCCAATTGTGGAGCAACACCTTTCCCAATACAAGGAGAAGTTCACTTGGACTTCCAAGAGCCATTTTGGTAAGGAATACAGGCAGGAAAATAATGTCTCCATGTATCCAGCTTCCAGGCTGCAGATGGGGAGATTTAGGAGAAGATGACAATATTATTTAGTTATGTTCTGCTTTTCTAATTTGATTTGTATTTCTAATGAAGCATCTGTCCTGTTTTGTAAGCATTGGACAGTAATTAATGCAAACCATAAAAATCAAACATAATCAAAATATGACCAGCCAAAAAGATTCAATTGGTTGTGCAGGAATTTTTCATAGTTCAGCTTTGAGAAAAGCAGGTCATGTGTTATGTGACTGAGAAACTGCACTTAGGTGTCTTTGTTAATGATTCCTTTCAAAGAAAATTCTTCTTTAAAAGAGTCTGTAATAATTTTAAAGTTGTCCAAGTGATAATGTGATTTAATAATACTTCCTTTAGAATGTTTGAAGTTAATGAGGATGCTTTTGGAGTTTAAAAAAACAGGAGTTATTTGGGAAAATGGAGATTAAGTTCTCTCTTTATTTCCTTTTTTATTAGTAAATATACTGGTGTGGTAAGAGCTGCTCTGTGTTTGACTTGGTTTTCCATTTTCCAGCCTTCCTTCCTTCCCTGTCCCATCTGTGCCGCCTGGAGATCCGGTCCCTGCTGGGGAGCGAGCGCCTGCGCTCGGAGCGCGTGATCCGGGAACTGCCGCTGCCAGCCTGCCTCCAGGACTACCTGCTCTACCTGGATGTGCTGCGAGCCAACAGTGTCCCAGAGCTGCAGGATTGCCTGGAGCAGGGAGAGGAGGGAGCTCCTTCCAGTCACTCCGAGGCGGAGGATACGGAAGAGGGACAGCAGTGACGGCGGTGCTCCGTGACGGCGGTGCCAGTGCCTGGACTCTGCAGCTGCAGGTTTTGTAATGGGAATCAGGAGACATGGGAGGAGAACTGCTGTAAATGTCTGTTCTCCTCCCGTGTAATCATTCTTTTCACGCTGTAGTTTTGTACTACATCTAGAAATTTCCTATGGGCTCTATGATTTGCTTGTTTAAAATCTGTTGTAGCTCTGTAAGTGAACATTTTCTGTTTCTTTTCTAACTCTTGGGAAGTAAAATGAGCTTTTTCAGTGAACACAGCTTACAGAGTAGTCAAAATCTGTCCATTGACACTTTATTCCAAATACAGTGTTTACCAAATGAAACCATCTGAAAGTCAAGGAACACAATCTTGTATCATTGTTATGAACTTGTGTTGGGGAGGGATGGAGCTGAACCGGAGAAAGGCAAATTACATTAGAAAGGAGATTGTTTGCTGAAGGAACAGTGATTTTTTTTTCCTCTCTCTTCCTCTGGTTGTCAATATTTGGCAGAATGTTGGTATTGGAGGCTTGGGGCCTGCACCCAGTCCCTCCCCTTGCAAGTCCCTCCCCCAGACAAGGCAGGAAATGTCCACAGGCACACCAACGTGTGCCAGCAAAAGGACTTGCTGTTCCTGATGCCCGGTGACAGGGCTGAGGCAGAGACACCTTGGGAGGACAGCAGGGTCTCTCACACTGGGAAAGCCCTTGTCCCGTAAAGGTGAATCTGGTGCTGCCAGGATCACTGGTAGTAGATGCTGAAAGCGTGGAGGATGTACAGGAAGGTCGTGAGGAAGGCGAAGAACTGCATGAGAGGAAGAAGAGGAAGGGTCAGCTGGCAGAGTCAAACCCCATCTCCTCCCAGTGCTCCCAGCATGGGGAAGCCTCCAGCATAGACCTCCCTCCAGCCTCAAAGGAGAGGCAAAGCCTCAGCTTTTCCCAGCACCCAGCCACGTCAGGCTGTCCATGAACTGGTGGACCCTGAGAAGCCAACGCCAGCTGCACCACCCACAGAGCTGAGGAGCTGAAGCTCTGCCCAGCTGGCACTGTGGGGCTTGGGGTGGCTCTGCTGTGGCTTTAGCACGTGCTGTCGCCCTTGCAGGGGTGACTGTGTGTCCTGCAGCCCGGCAGGCTGCTCGGCACTCACCGATGCAGCGCTGTTGAGTTGGTAGTTGAGCGGCGCGTTGACGCCGAACTCAGAGTTGATGGTGGCGTTGGCCTGCAGCACAGCGGCGCTCATGTACAGAATGGCCGTGGCGCCGTGGTACAAACTGTCCTGCAAAACAAGGCACCTGTGAGTGCCCCAGAGGGGGACAGGTGCCTGGATGGGCCTGGGACTGAACCCTCCCAGGCAGTGGCTTCACAGCAGAGCTCCCCTGGACTTTCCAGTCCAGCTGAGGTAAAAGGAAGAAAGGGTTGGTGGGTCACCAGCCATGGTGCTCCTGCGCCCACATTGCTGCTGCCAAGATCTGCCTGCGTTCCATCCCCTTCTTACCAGCACTTTCCAGTTCTCGCTGTTCCTGTGGAAGCCGAGGAGGTAGCTTAAGAGGAGCAGCAGGGAGATGAGGCAGGAGGTGAGGGACACGTACATCACCCATCCCTGCAGCAGCGGCAAGGAGACGGAGGTAGCAGCGACGAGGATCCACACCCAGGTCCCGCAGACCTGCCGGGGACAAACAGGCGCCGCTGATGAGCGTGGGATGAGGAAAAGCTCTTTTCCTCCCCAGTTCCCTCGTGGGCCAGCTGCAGCAGCCAGCGGAACCCCTGCATCTTTCCCAGAGCATCCCGGTGCTCTGGGAAACAAGCAAGCAAGTTGGCACCAGTTTCCCTGAAAGCTCATGGGAAATGAGTGGTCACACAAAAGGGAAGGATTTGCTGCCGCCTTGCACACAAGGAAATGTCTCATCCCGAGGGATTTGGTGGAGAAGCCAGAAAATGTGCTTTTATCTGGGGAAAGTGAGCGGTTGCCTCAACCCAGCCCTGCCCGCTCGTTAATCTCCAGGGCTTGGAATCACAGCACAAGGAAGTCTCCTCTCAGCTCCACGCACCAGCCTGGAGCAAGTTGCTCGCTCTGGATCCACCCAAAATATTTACTGAGCACAAAAAGCCCACGGGGTTATCAGGATGAACCCATGCCACCCTGTGCCATCCCAGCTGCAGTGGGTGAAACCCCTGGAATTGCAGCAGGGAGCTGAGCCCGCTGCCACGGGCAGGGACTGTGCCTGTGAGCACAGGGTGTGTGGGTTGCCAGCCCCGTGCACCATGACAAAGTACATCAGGTGCAATCTTGGCCAGTCCCACTGGATGCCCTCTGGACCCAGAAGCAATTGAAAGAATCAAGGAATGTCATCACACATTACCAGGCGCCCAATTGCCTTCAACCCCTGGAACGACTTGATACAGAGAGGAAAATTCCCTTGATTTTCAAGGCATTTCTACAAGGTAACGAGAGCTGCTTCATGATAACGAGAGCTGCTAGTGTGCCCTGGATGAGCCAGCAGCTCCTCAGCCTCTCCCAGCGCCAGGGCAGCCCGGGACCCTCACCCAGGCTGTGATGGAGCCGAGTGTACCTTGTCCTCAAGCTGCTCCTAAAAACCCCATCAGGAATACTTCGTGCATTCAACGTAAGCTCAAAGACAAGATGTCACTTCCCAGCCACGATGCCTTCAGGATGGTTTCAGGGGATTTTAGGAGTGGGTTCCATGAGGCAGAGGAGCGCGGCATACTCACGATCTCCGGCAGGATGAAGGCGTAGGGGATGGTTTTGAAGACGGCGGCTCCGGAGGGCAGGGCGGGCTGCGTGGGGGCTGCGGAGGGACCCACCGAGGCCATCTCTCCTCCGCCGACACCGCTCCGCTCGGCTCCGCCGGCGCTCGCCTGCCCCGCGCCGCTCCCGTGCGGGATTTAAGGGACACGCCCGCGGCACGTAAGCGCAGGAACCGGCCCGGGCTGGCACCGCGCCGCTGCCCCGGCACCGCCCGGGAGAGAGAGACTGCGGCGGCTTTGTGCATCCCACTGCCAGCCGCGGTGGGACAGAGCGGGACCCCGGCCCCACCGTGCGCCAGCGCAAGGGCATTCACTGGAGGGGGAAGGAAAAAAGTTCCTACACCTTGCCGGAACAGAAATGTTTCCTGCGAACAGTTCTCTTGGCACGCTTCCAATCCTGAAATATTTTTGCTTCCACTGTTGTTGCCTCCTCCCCTTTTTGTTCAGGTTTCTGCTCTGCCATCACGTTAGACCTCTCCACACCCTTCAGGCGCATCCAGCCTTCAGAAAGAGTGATAAAGTACTGGAATGGTCTGCCCGGGGAGGTGGTGGAGTCACCATCCACGGACGTGTTTAAAAAAAGACTGGATGTGGCACTCGGTGCTGTGGTTTAGTTGAGGTGTCAGGGAACAGGTTGGACTCCATGAAGGTCTCTTCCAACCTAGTGATTCTGTGAAACTAGCAGGTAAATTTTACAAACATTGGCAATGTGCTCCCGAGTGCACAGTAAGGTTTGAAGGGGAGCGACAGGAATTTCTGCCTCCTGGCAAATGCAGTTTGGATTCGGGAAGCACTTGCTATCTCATCCAGTGCACTCTGCCTGGCCCCAGAACTCCCAGATAAGGGGTGGGATGAAAGGCTGGGGGTGGCACTTCTGCCTGGTGGCCCAGAGAGGACAGAATGACTCCATTAAGCTGGGCAATGGGCTACAGCAGGAGGAAAACACTGTCCCAGTGAGTTATCCCAGCTCTGCTGAGCCAGACAGGTGATGCCCCAGGAACTCGGCTTCTATGCCAAGCTCTTGCACAACACAGAGCAAAGATCAAATCCATGTCTCTGAGCGCTTCCGAGGCTGGGGGAAGTGTTCTGTGGTATTTCTGGAGGCTCCAGTTTACAGATACTCCAGTGGGAGTTGGTTTTTGGCTCCGTGCAGTGGAGGTTTAAAAAAATCTTGTTTCAAATCTCGCCGGACAAAACTAAGCCTGGCCTGGGCTTAAATCCAGGTGTGACTCGGTGGCAATGTCACCAGCACCCTGCAGGAAGCATCCAGATGCTCCAGCACTAAAGAGAAAGTGGATTAATCACTTCCCCCTGGGAATGGGCAGCACACAGAGCCTGTGGTCATAAGGCAGTCAGGGGTCAGCAGAGGAAATAATCCTGGGGAAACACAGCATTCCCAAGATTCCCACCAGCTGCTATTTGTGTTGGGTCAGGCACATTCCTGGGAGTAACCCAGCCTTCTCCTGAGTGGGGGAGAGGAACAGCAAACAGTCTAAAAACGGAGCAACCTGCTGGTCACTGGTTGGACAAGAGAGGATTCTTCCCCTAAGCTGGCTGTCCTTGCTCAGCAGCATTCTTAAAGATCGCTGCTCTTTCCCTTCCCTGCTCCCAGGCTGCTGGGGGACTGGGACAAAGAGTCTTTTGTTCACCCTGATTAAAACAACACTGGAAATTAATTGGAAGCTGCAGGAGAGGAGAAAAGGGCTACCTCAGCTTTGGCAAAATATGACATCTGACATGGCTACAGCAGGTAGTAACAGGCAACCAGAACCCCATTTAACGCTGCAAAAAAACCCTCAAAATACAATTTCCAGTAGATAAACAAATAAAATAATTTTAATCTCTCTCAAAATCTTAATTGTGCTAAAAGATCTATTACAATTCAGCTCCTACACAATATCTTTGGTACTAATTTAATTTTACTGTTACCACATCCTTAGACAGCCTGAATTGTTCATTCTCCAGGGTTGTTTTCCCTCACTTCTCCTAAGAAATCATAAGCCAGCTCTGAGATGTCAAAGGCTCTGTGGGTGTTTTCTGATGACAGCAGGTACTCCAGGGCACCATCCTTCTCCCGGCTCCTTTTCAGGAAGTCATGGATCACCTTCCAGCGAGACAATTCCACCTCTTCCTCAGCCCATCTGTAGCCAGGGAGGAACGTGGAGCAGAGCAGAGGGAGCACAGAGTCATGGTACACCAGGACAAACGCAGACTTCAGGAATTCTTGATCTCTCTGCAGAGAAGAATGTTTGAAAATACCTCAGTACAAACACATGGTGTTGCCAAGCACTTTTCCAAAGTACTGTACACGGGAAAAAAACCCAAAAAAACTCAATCCCAGTTCCCAGGAAAACAACGGGAAGAGATTTGACCTTCCTCAACACACATCCGTTATCTCGGATAAGCCTCCAGCATATCCACAAACCTGAACTCTGCCAGCCTTCCCACAAACTACAAGCACTGAGAGCCCTTTGCTGTGGGGTATTTATATTTCTTAAAAGCATTGCCACATCCTCCCTGCCCTGGAAGCCCAAACTCCTTTCATTTCCCTGCTGTCCTAGGCGGAGCGTGGCTCTGATCCCACTCCGTGGAGCCAGAGGTGACGCTGCCCCTGGGCACTGCTGTCCCACCCTTGGTGCATGGTGTGACCTGCGTGCTCCCCTGTGAAGATCAGTCTGGAAAACCCAGAGACAAAGGATCAGCCTGGTCAATTATCAAACACATGGGAAAGATCCAAGTCCAGAGTGTCCCAGCCGCAGGAGCGCTGTGCCTGGCAGGGAGCGTTTCAGAGCTCAGCCACGGAACCACGCGAGGGGTGAGCATTCAGCAGGCAGCAATCCTCCCGTGGGAGGGGCACATGCCTGTCAGGTAGAACTGGATGGTTCTGGGATCCCGGGGAGGTGCCAGTTCCGTGAGCAGATCTGCTCTCCTTTTGGATGAATGGCCCTGAAAAAGCTGCTCTGACTCAGCGCGAGTTTGCGTAAACGGGGAGCCGTGCTTGTGCATCAATTCAGGAGCAGGCACAGGGAATGAGACATCCCACTGCTGCTCCCAGGAAATCCAGCATTGAGAGCCAATGCTTTCTCATTCAGGTCTCTGCAGCTGCTCTCTTCCAGGGGACAGGATGTAGGACAAAGTCTGGGTGAGCCCAGGGACAACCAGGTAAATTTTCTAGCTGTCTATGTGCCAAAACATGGATTACAACTTTCTGGGGTAGGGAGATCTCAGGAATTTAGGGGGCCTTTTCCCAGGCAGATTGTGGGAGGACTGAAGCTCAGAGTTTGGATGAGGGAAGATGATTTTGTGGGCATTCACAGCCCCTTTTTGTATCCAAGATGTGCTGACTGTTGGAAGCACACCTTGACAGGGAGCCACTCTGGGTTCCAACATGTAACAGGTTCCCCCCTAACAACACTGAAATAAAAAGTTACAAGTTAGTTTCATTTTCCTCCTGTTCCTGGTTCACTGTTATAAATCTGGGTGAGAAATGTTAAGAACTTCATTTACATATCTCTATTTTCTAAAGAGATGTATGGTGAGAGGAAAAGCTATGCAGCAATTGCACTGGCAGGGAGCAGCTAGGTGGAATTAATTACCCTGAATATATGGAAAGAAAAACCTGTAGTTTGTTACCTTCTCAATTCTCTTCAATGTTCTTTCTTTGTCTGCCCAGGCACTCTAAAATGAAATGTAAAATCAGGGCAAGGCTGGAGAACTTTGTCTTCTCCCAGGACAAAAAAAAAGCTCAAATTTTGCCTGGAAATCCTGACAAGGTAACATACCCGAAGTGCATCCATCAGGTCTGGCTGATCCAGGAGCTGAGGGAAAGTTGCTAGAACAGGATTACAGATTAAGTCTGAAACAGAAAACAAACACATTCAAGGCCAAGGAAGAATCAGTTTTCAAAGTATTGGCACATCCAGGTATTCAGCACATCCCCTCCTGTCAGATTATTCCAAAGGGAAAACGAGCTGTGACAGTTCTCCAGAGCAGCAAGGTAGGAGAACTCCCTGAAACCTGTTCTGACTGCAGCCAATTCTCAGTGGCTGAGAGACAGTTAAACCAGGAGAGGAGACACACAAACCCCAGTGCTGTTTATTGGGAACACCAGCAAACACGAGCCCTTCCTGATTTACCTGCCAGAGGTGTTTTCCCTCATTTCTGCACCTGTCTTTTTTATACACAGCTGCAATTGTGCTGCTTAGTTTGGATGTTATGGATAAACACACTTGGGTTCTACCTCAGCCTGGTGTGGCATTTTAGGAGAAGCAGGGACAAGTGCACAGTGAATTTTCCCAATGGAGCACATATCCCACTGCACAGGTGTCCCGGTGCTTTTTGGGTCACTTCCATGAGAAGTCACTCTGCTCCTGTGATTATTGTAATTAATGAGATTGTGGATAAGATTCCAAGTGACAGAGAGCAGGATTTTGGCTGAAGTGTTTTCTTTACCCTGTGATTTAAAATATTGAATGTACACTTGTCCCTTCACCTTGAAGCTGATGGGAAGTTTGGTAAACATGAAGCATTTACTAACTCCCAAACATTTCGGGGAAGAGAGCCAGGACTGATGACTTCTTGAAGGAGAAGAGACATTTTCAGTTGTCTATTTCTAAAGTGATGGTGGATTTTGAAATAATAGAAATCTTCTTTAGTTGCACAGCTACCAGAACAACTCCTGGGATAAAGCCTTGCAATGACTTCCCATGAAGTCTGAATCCAAAGGGATGCAATTTAACTCCAGGAGAGGTCGTCAGCCCAGTCTACTGTCCTAAATTATGCAGACCAAATCAGGTAAGTGTGGCAGTTCTCACCTATAGAAATTCACACATAGTACAGTTAAGAAATGTAAATTTTCCTTATTTCAAGTTGGTTTTAAAATGGAGAAGGCTATGAACTATCATTAGTTCTGTTGACTAATCAGGGCAAGACACTGAGTTCTAAATCCAGAATTCTCCAACTTCTGTCTCTCCCTACTGTCAGTAAATAATAATTAAGTGAATAATAATTAAAAACTAAAAATAAAGAGGATAACTTAGCTTGAGTGCCAAAAACATCTCTTACCAAAGAGTGACCTGGCAAGAGTCATTCCCTGGATGAACCTGATCTTCCTCCAGTGCTCACCTGTGCTCTGCATGCTCATCCTGTCCTTCAGGAGGGCATCTCCAAGGATCTGCCGATAAAACACCAGGAGATGGATGTAGCACATGCCCCCAACTAATGTTTCAGGGAGAAAACTGTTGGGAAAATAAGAGACAGCAGTTGAGGTGTTTACTGCACACACTGCAGATTTCCCTAGGCTATCTGGAATACTTTTTCATTTTGTGGAAGCACAAGGACTCACTTCAGGATGTCTTTTGAGTGCACGCTCGGGGACTTCACTTTCACCAGAAGCACAGGCTGCTTCCTGAGGCTCATAAACTGCTGAAAAACCCCAGAGCCTGCTGCAGAAATAGACAGCCCAGATTCAAACAGTCAGTTTGAAACAACAGTAATAATTATATTACAAAAATGGGCACTTGAGTGGGTTGAGAACTCTTTCGAGTTTAGTTAGCCTGGTAGCACCCAGCTGCCCACAGCCAAGGCAAAAGCAGATAAATAATGAAATACATGCAAAAATAGAACACACAAACCCAAACCAGGCTGTGGGGACTGTTGTGAAGGAGATGCAGCATTAATCACATGATTATGTTTATATTAGATTGAAAAGAAACCACACCTCTCCTTGATATTGATGGGTCAACCTCAACGCCTCTCTCATAGGGAGTTCCACCACTCAGGACCAGCTCATGCATCCTGCCAATAAAGATAAATTTGAAACCCACATGATATTGGGAATTCAATTATTTTTGGAATTTAATTGTACTGGAACGTCAATTATTTTAAAAGCCATTAACAACATTCTCTCTTTTCCACAGCTCAAATATTTTTCTTGTATGGAATTTAGCAATTGTTTCAATATAATGGTTTTGAGGAATCACCACTTCAACAATTAAAATCTTCCATATTTAAAATTTGCTAAAGAATAATGTAACCCCAGTTCTGCCAAGAGTAAGTCACTGCTGAAACAAGCATGAAATTTAATCTGTAATATCATGCTTACTGATTGAAATAGTAGAACAATATTTAAAAAATGAGACTTAGGAGATATTTAGAATTCTAGAACAGTAGAGGTGTCCTGTGGGTATTTTTTTTTTTGAGCTGTAACCCAGATAAATTCAGAATACATATACACAATATATATATATTTGTCTACCAATATTTGGCAAAAACCAAGCCTTGAAAGTCTGAGTTACAATGAATTATTTCTGTCAATAAACAGAAAGTTTTCCTACATTTAATAAAATAAAAATATACACACTTCATTATTCTTTCAGATGACTGGACCCACTAATCATAAATCATAATTCACACTCCAAGAGCAGGAGAGATTGATTCACAACAACTCCTACCTGACTCCAGGTCTTGGGAACCAGTCTCCCAATTTTCAGCTGGGAAAGGGATAATGCAGCAAAGAAGAGCCAGAATCCCAAAGGACTGGTCTGGATGCCCCCTGCCCCAGCAGTGTGTAAGTGTGAAAGATGAGCTTTACTCTCAATCTAAAACAGATATATATACATCTGTGTGTAAATACAGGGAGAGCAGGAAAAGGCAACAAACTCACTTGGAAGGAACAGGAATCCCACTGGAAGTGAAAAGCTTCAGAAAGGCCCAGCCACAGCTCAGCTCTCCTCTTTCACTTGTTGACTAGAAAAAAAGAAGTGTAAATTATTTGAGCAGCTGACCCAGAATGAGTGACTGAACCACAATTAATAACAGTAACCACATGAAAATTGTAGTAGTTATTCCCTTTCCCTCTTTCACCCTTGTGTGTTCAAAAACCACAATCTGCCTTCTCTGAGGGTCGTTTTTCTGGCTTTACCATCTATTGTCTTACTACCTGTTGTGCTTTCCAGCAGCATATCCCAGATGGACAGGCTCCATCTGTGTAAACTGGAGCTGGAAACCACTGTCCATGCTGCTGAAACAGTCAAAACTTTAGTTTTCCAACTGTACAGGACATTAGTCTGAAATAAATCACAGAGATGGAAAACTGCAGGAGTGAAGGGAGAAGCAGTCCATTGTGATCCCGTGGCATGGGATCTTTGGCACAAGTTATTTCAGCGTTGGTACAGGGACACTCATGCCCATGAGTCAGAGGGATTTTTACTCTCTAATTAAGGATATTCTCCCATCAGAGAATACCAGAATGGTTTGGGTTGAAAGGGATCTTAAGGATCATCTCATTCCACCCCCTGCCATGGGGCATCTTCCACTGTCCCTGGTTGCTCCAAGCCCCATCCAGCCTGGCCTTGGACACTTCCAGGGATGCAGGGGCAGCCACAGCTTCTCTGGGCACCCTGTGCCAGGGCCTCCCCACCCTCACAGGGAAGAATTCCTTTCCAATATCCCATCTATCCCTGCCCTCTGATAGTGGGAAGTCATTCCCCCTTGTCCTATCACTACATGAGCTTGTGAAAAGTCTCTCTCCATCTTTCCTGTAGGCTCCTTCCAGGTAATCCTGTTCTCTGATGAGGGATATTCTCTAACTGGGAACAGCTGGTTCCCTTTACAAACCTGCCCTTGGAGCAATTTCCACAGCACCTCCCCACACTCACATTGCACTTGTATGTGATGCCAAGCTCAAACAAGATCCCAATGTCTGAAGAGAGGGAGTTGGACCTGACAAAACAGTCACCATCAAGCAAGCTGGGTAAGATGCCCATCACCTGACACAGAGAGAGGGAGGGAAAAAAATTATTGTACCTATAAAAGCCAAAAAATCTTGATTTTTAAAGGCCATCAAGCACATCCCTCACTCAACACAAGATCTCAGACCCAATCCCACTGCATATAAAAATGAGGAGAGAACCAATTCCAGTCAAAATTTTGCTCCCCTTATTGTCTTTCCATGGAGCACAGCTGTGCCACCAAGGAACACTTTAGTGACACTGAAGGAAGAAGCTGTGAACAGTCAGGGGCTGTGTCACCTACCCTTGGAGAAAAGGTCCATGTTTGAGGATTTTTAGGCAGCCACGTGGCTCTCACTGTGTGAATGTTACTCAGCACCTAAAGTGGGGAAGAAAGCCAAGGCAAGTTTTTCTGGAAAGCCCTTTCAGAAAATGCAGGGTTATCCCAGATGGATTCAACACTGCACACAACAAAGACAGCTGGAAGAAAACTGCTGGATAATCAGGGTTATGTTTTTACAGAAAGCTGCTCTGCACACACACAAAGGAACAGAGGATCAAGGGCACGCGGAGGAATCTGACCCTGACCCAGCTGCTCCCAGGCCCATCCCAGGAGACAGATCAGCCCAGGAAACACTCATTGCCAGGAACACAAAGGAGCCAGGAGGCACAATGGCAGGCGGGGGACCCGAAATTAGGGACTCAGAGAAATGGAACCCCCGCCCCAGCCCCTCCCAGGGCCGCCCAGCACAGCCCAGAGCCCCGGGGCAGGGTGTGACTGTCACCCTGAGTCAGGAGCAGCTCCCTGCCTCACCTCACACTGCCCTGGGGCATTTTGGGGCTGCACCCGATTCACCACCAGCGGAAAGCAGAGGGGCAGAAACCAAAGGCAGAAAAAGGGAGGGGTCCAAGTGCCTCGTGGAGTACCAAGGGTGGGAAGCAGGGCTGAGTATGCCTGCCTGGCCATGCCCAATGCCCATCAATGCAGCCTGGCCTGTTCCATCATTCAGTTCTGTTCTTCTGGGTGAGCAGGCTCAAACCAGGCTCATCTGAGCACAAATTCAGCAGCTTGGAGGCAGGGGGTGTGTGTGTCTGAGTGACACAGAGAAGAAGCAGAACCTGAAGGATGCTGGAAGCTCCAAACCTCCTGCAGCCCTTTTTTGGGAAGCAGACACGCTCCTTACCCGGCTGCCATCGAAGAGGCAGAGCCGGACGTGCCGGCTGAGGACCCGCACGCCGCTTCCAGGGAGAGGGATCATCTTGCAGCTGCATAAAGTGACAATCAGGGACACTCTGGTGGGTCTAGGATGGATCTGAAATACAGCAGAAGGAGGATTAAACCTACAGGGCCCTCTGCACGTGGTCTCATTTTGTGTTCCTGGACCGAGGTTTTTCTCCCAGCCACCACCCCAGTGCAGTGGCAGCAGCAGGATTTCTTCACAAGCCTTTAGCTCTGCCCCAGGGGTGTTGTACATATTTGTACCAGCAACGGTGCAAATTAAGACATCATCACTAGCCAAAAGGAAAGAAGGCAAATAAAGTTTGTGTCCCCCCTTAGCAGCAATACTCACAGTGTTTCTCTCAGAGTTCCACACCAAGTCTTTGAAAGCCAGCTGGGATGGAGTAAGCTTGGGCTGCAAATAGGAACTTGCTCGAAACTCTTCACCTACAACAAGAATAAATTTAAAAACTCTTCGTTTTTCAAATGATCTTCATTGTGCCAAAAAGGACAACACCCAAAATTCATGTCCAGTTGAATATTTGACTAAACAAAACTACGGAATTATCTGCCATGACCAGAGTGTTCTGAAGTATTTAATGTCAAAAGCACAATAACTTAATTCTAAAAAGAGATTAAACAGCTTTAAACAGAAAGACTAACAAAACATGGGATATCTTAATATATTTGGTGAAGAGACTAGAAAAGACCTTTGAGAAAAAGGGAAGATTAAATAAAATTTTTAAAATCATAATTTCTTGTAAAGTCGACAGGAACGAACTTCCAAAGAGGAAACTCTTTGAAATTGTGAGGAAATTTGCCAGGATTTCACACTAATAAATTAAAATTTAAGGGGAAAGAAATCTTTTATACATTATTTGATAGGTCAAATATAGCCAGTTATACAATTAATTAAAATTAAGCAGTATGGATTGGGGACCAACAGGCTGGTGACCGGGGTGAGAAAGCCACTACGGAGACCTGAGAATCCTTCCAGGTGAAATCCCTACCTTCCTCCAAGAGCTGGAAAAGCATGGATGGGCGGAATCCTGCAGGAACTGCCCCTGTGGTGGTCAGCACCTCCACAGTGTCATTCTAGTGAAGAAAAAGGAAAAAGGATGTTACTGTTCCTGCTATTTAATAGCAAATTTCATCCTAATTTACAGCTCTGTTTAGAACCAGAAATTTGAGATATCAGTCACCTCTTCTGAAGCATTTTTGTGGCATTTCTTGCTACCAAAAACTCCCAAAACACAGAGGTTAATTAAGAACAATGTTCTTTGACATGAGACCCAGTGTTTGGCAAAAGGCACAGATTGTCTACAAAATAATGCAGATTATAGCAGGTGAAGCTGCACTGTAAGAGGGGCACCTACCTCTGCAATGGCTCGGACAGCATTCCAGTGGGAATCTGTTCTGGAAGAAAATACAGGGATTTATAGCAAATCCTCACGTGAACAAGAATTTAGCCACTAAATATTGCTCTGTTTCCAAACAGCAGCAGCTTCACAACCATATCTGAGACATTCCATTTACCTTTTTTTAATTTCAGTTCCATCTGCTGTTTCATCCACCACTTCTGTGTGTTCTTCTGACTCCTCCTGGCTTTCTTCCTCTTCCTTAGGAACCTGGAATTCACATTTAAAATGGCAAAAGGCTTGATTTCTTCCCAGTTCTGTTGTTAAAAATGCCTTCTCCAACCACAGCCCATATTAATATAAGTTTAGAATAAATTAAGTAAGTTTAGAAAAGGAGATTTTTTTCTCTGTGATGCAGAAAATTGTTTACATAGACTCCCATTTCAGATAAATTATTAAAAGCCCAAATCAATTTTCAGAGTTGACCTTTAAGTGACAAAGATTCTGACTTTGATATTCATGGAACTTCTCTGCCACAACTTCACAAGGCACAGAAATGCTGCTTTTGATGGATATCTCCAGCCCCATGGACAAAAACACGGAGTTATTTCCAAATAACTGGCTTTATTTCCAAAAAACACACGGCATTGTGACCAGATCATTAATTATAGATCATTAACCTATATAAAAGAGCAGAGGTGAGATTAGGACAGAGGTTGGAGCACACCCACCGCAAGGTAAGTCCTGGGAACGAGGCCTCTCTCCCCCTTGGAATTTTCAGCTACCCACCAGCCATCCTCCTTCTTATCGTGTATGAGCAGGATTTCACCTTTCTTTGGCATTGGAGGAAGAGACAGAGACAAAAAAAACAAGCAAATATTTAAATGATAAAAGGACCTAACTCCAATTTCTCCCCAAATCCCACAGCTGAATGCCAAAAGCACAGGATTTCATTATAGTTACTGCTTAACTCAGAGCGACCTGCAGTAAAAACCCTTCACAGAGAGATATTTACCACAAATGTGAGATCCCCTTCCTGCTGGGCATCAAAGTTCCCAACAGCAACACATTCTCTAACATTTGGATCATCCAACAGCTTCTCCTCATCTTCTTCTTCTTCAGGGTCTTCCTCCTCACCTTCTTCATCTTCACTCTCCTCCTCTTCTTCATTTCCCTCTTCTGTATGAGGGCCTTTCTGGTGTTCCTCACCCCTACCCAAAACAAATCAAACTATTTTTTAGTGTCATTCCTACCAAACTTTCTGAAATGCTGTCAAGCCTCTGCAAGGACATTATTCAGATACAGCATTCCCATTCCTCTGTTTTGCTCTCTGTCCTGAAGAAACTCCTCCAAACCTTATATTCCAGCCATTATCCATCACCCTGAGAAAATCCCACCAAGTCATAAATGACTTCTCCCCCGAGCACTTCTGTTTTTATCCTTCTGTTATTTTTCAGCTAATTAAGAGGGTGAGATAATGGTTTTTCAAGGTCCATTCCAGCCATCCTTTAAAAAAACAGTTGCATTTGTATGTTTAAGCTACTCACCCTGGGTAATTCTTTGTCACATTATCCTGATCCAAGACAAGAAGGAGTTTCTGCAGCTGCTGGGAGAGTCTTAGCAACAGCTTTTCTTCCTCTTCCTTCCTCTGGCTGTAATTCCCCACTGGCGCAGGCTCATCAGCCTGACAGAGAACCCAACAAAAAAATCCAAGTTCCAAATAAATTGGTCAAAGAATCAAAGTCCCTCTATAAATTAACTTTTCCAGACATGCCTTAAAAGTTTTCCCCTTCCTGGGCTGCTGTCACTCCCTCTTTAGTGACAATTTTCTTACCCTTTCACTCTGCCAAGGTGAAATTCTCTGTTAAGTTTTCACCTGGGACTTGGACAAAATAAAGCATCAGTTTTAAATTATATAAAAGTATATAAAAAAATATAAATTGGAGAGATGGCAAGCAGGGATTGTGCAGTGCTGGGCACTGCTCTTGTCCTGAGGCATCTAAAATAGAACACTGATTTTCTTTAAACACTTTCCATGGTGAATTTTGGAGAAAACCACAAATGAATCTCCATACTTACTTTTTTCAAAGCATGGAGAGCGTTTGTATTCTCCTCCACCAATTCCTTCAGCTGTGTACATCTGCATTGAAAGCAAGACAGGCAGATGGTATTTTCTTAAAATTCTGACCCAAACCACACCTGCTGACTGAAAGGTGTCATTTTAGGTGCTGTGTGTCCCTTCAGGCAGAGAATTCCAAGCCCAAACAGCAGCATTTGACAGAATCCCAGAAGAGCCAGGACTGGAATGGATCTCTGGAGCTCATCCCGTCCAACCCCACTGCTCAGGCAGGATCACCCAGAGCAGGTGACACAGGAATGCATCCAGCTGGGTTTGGGATGTCTCCGGAGAGGGAGACTCCACACCCTCCCTGGGCAGCTCTTCCAATTCTCTGCCACCCTCATGTTGAAGTGGATCTTGTGTTTTAATTTATGGCCATTGCTCCTCATCCTGTTGCTGGGAACGCCGGAAAGAGCCTGGCACCATCCCCTTGGCACCTGCCTTGGAGATATTTATATGGATTGGTGAGAGCCCCCCTCAGTCTTCCCTTCTCCAGACCATCCTCACCCCCAGAGGACTGGGAAAGAGCCGGCCTGGAAAACAGGAGAGGGAAGGGCAGGGAGAAAGCTGAACGGAGAGAAAAGGCATGGAGGAAACAGGGAGAAAGCTGAACAATTCGGAGAGGAAAGGCATGGAGGGAAGGAACACTGCTGAGGGTAGCAGAGGGGAGGCTGAGGGCAGCGCCGGGATGGAGGGATGGGGTTCGGGATGGGGCCCGGGATCGCCCTCACCTCAGCCGAAGGGGCTCCCGCTGCCCGGGGGCTGCGGCCGCGCTCTCCGCCCGCAGCGCCTCCACCTGCAGCGGGGAGCGGGCGGTCAGGGCCGGGGGCGGGACACCGCTACGGCACCGGCACCGCCACATCCCCAGTACCTCCCGGCACCGGCCCCGGCACATTCCCGGCACCGCCACCGGCACATCCCCGGGACCGGCCTTGGCACATCCCCGGGACCGGCCTTGGCAGGTACATCCCCGGGACCGGCCCTGGCACATCCCCGGTACATCCCCGGCACCTGCTCTGGCACACCCCTGGTACATCCCCGGTTCATTCCCGGCACCGGCACTGGCACATCCCCGGGATCGGCCCTGGCACATCCCCGGTACATCCCCGGCACCGGCCCTGGGACATCCCCGGCACCGGCCCCGGTAACATCCCCGCTGCAGCCCCGGTACAGCCTTGGTACCTCCCCGGGACCGGCCCCGGTACAACCCCGCTACAGCCCCGGTACAGCCTTGGTACCTCCCCGGGACCGGCCCCGGTACAACCCCGGTACCTCCCCGGGACCGGCCCCGCTACAACCCCGCTACAACCCCGGTACATCCCCGGTACATCCCTGGTACCTGCTCCCGCAGCTCCCGGCTCCGGCGCTGCACGCGCTGCAGCGGCCCCCGCGCCCGCCGCTCCGCCATGGTCACCGGGCAACGGGACAGCCCCGGCGCCGCCCGATGACGGGCCCGGGGCGGGGCCGGCAGCGCTCCGCGCCCACGGCCGGCCCCGGCAGCCCCGAAAGCTCCCTCGCACCCCCGGGAGCCCCGGCCGTGCTGACCTGGGGACAAACGAGGTGGCGTTTTGTGATCCCAGCCACTGGAGAGCACCCCGTCTGACGGCAGGACCGTTAACTTTGGGAAGGAGCTCCAAGGTCAAGACTTAAGGGGCTCTGGGCAGTGCTTTTTCTCCCCCATAGATTTGAGAATTCCAGAATACCTCTGAAAACCAGCAGCCTGCAATGAATCTCCCAGCACCCCTCCTGGCATTCTCTAGGAATGGGAAGAAGGAATTTGCTACAGCTACCCTCACAATTCCTTATCCAAAGTGCCAGGAGGAATTCTTACTCCTTTATTTCACTTGTTCATTCGCCCAGCCAAAGCATGAGCTCTTTCACCGCTTAACTGTCCCCATGCACACCCGTAATGAGACCTGTTACATGTGCCCATAAGGCACATTTTCACATTTATTCCAGAAATAAACACCTAGGAGCACCATGCGATGACTTTTGCTAGTTTATTGTGTTGGCAGCGCCTCCTGGCAAAGGCAGAGCAGCAGGCTTAGAGCTGAACAAGTGCAGACATCCCTTTTTTGGAATATGGAAATCCCAGAATCATGGAATCGCTGAGCTTAGAAAAGACCTCTGAGACCATCGAGGTCTCCCATGACCGATCCCCACCTCGTCACCCAGCCCAGAGCACTGAGTGCCACGTCCCGTTGTTCCTTGGACACCTGCAGGGACGGGGACTCCAAACCTCCCTGAGCAGTCCATTCCAGGCCGGGGATCGCTGCTTGCACATCCTCAGCTCTTTGTTAGGTTAGTCTGACACAGTTTGGGATCTTGCTTTGCGAAGGGCAGAAGAGAAGTCCTGCTGTTCTAGGGATGCTGTCCTCTCTGGCAGCACTGCTATTCCACAGATGCTGTCCTTCTCCAGAAGCCCTGCTATTCCACAGATGCTGTCCTTCCCGCTATTCCAGGGATGCTGTCCTTCTCCAGAAGCCCTGCTATTCCACAGATGCTGTCCTTCTCCAGAAGCCCTGCTATTCCACAGATGCTGTCCTTCTCCAGAAGCCCTGCTATTCCACAGATGCTGTCCTTCCCGCTATTCCAGGGATGCTGTCCTTCTCCAGAAGCCCTGCTATTCCACGGATGCTGTCCTTCCCGCTACTCCACGGATGCTGTCCAGCCGGCAGCCCTGCTACCCCAGGGACGCTGTCCTTCCCCAGCAGCGCTTCACGCGTTTCCAGCGGCTCAGGCAGCGCCCACCGCAGGTCCGGAGGAGCCGAATCCGCCGCAGGAGCCGCCGGGAGCCCGCAGCCAGGGGCAGCCCGGAGCAGCCAGGGGCAGCCCGGAGCGGCTGCGGCGCTCAGGCCGCTTCCAGCTTCTCCTGCGCGGCGGCGAGGCGGCGCTGGAGGTAGCGCTGCCGCCAGCGCAGGAAGCGGCGGCGCGCCCGGCCCGCCTGCCAGCCCACCGCCACCCCGGCGGCGAAGGCGGCCAGCAGCGCCCAGCGCACGACCCGCGGCTGCAGCGCCTCCAGCACCATCCCGGCCCCGCTTCCAGCCCCGGCCCGGCGCCGCCTCCCGCTCCCGCTTCCGCCGCCGCGGGGGCGGGACCGGCCCCGTTAAAGGCGGCGGGACCGGGGAGGCGCCGCGTCCGCCCGCGCCATGGCCGAGGCGGCAGCGCAGGTAGCGGCTCGCCCCGCGGCACCCTCGCCCCCTTCTCCCTCTTCTCCCTCTTCTCCCTCTTCTCCCTCTTCTCCCTCTTCTCCCTCTTCTCCCTCTTCTCCCTCTTCTCTTCCCCGAAGATCCTCACACGGTGCCTTGTGTTTCCCCCAGGATCTGCTGCTGGCAGCGGCGTTCGTCTCCGATGCGCAGTACAACAGGAACATTCCTTTCAAGACCTCCCCGGAGGCCGTCAGGTAAGGAGGGATGCGCCCCAACCACACCTGTGGAGAGCCAGCAGCACCCGTGACCGAACAGCAACAGCCAGGAAAAGTCGGGGGTGCTAAGAGGGGTGGATGGGTGGGGTGCCAAAAACTGGACTTCAGCTGAAATGCTTAAAACGGGGCTCAGCACATCTGTATGTTGAGGATGGGAAATTGACATTAAAAAGTTGTGGTTTGCTGGAGGGGAGAAAATAAAACTAGCACAAAGTCTTCCAAGCCTCTGGGGCAATGAAGAGTGTGGGAGGCTTGGTCAGCCCTCAGCTGTGTGGAAGGTGCTGGAGTGGCAGAACCAAGTTAAATATTTTTTGTTTACTATAATGAGTATTCTGTTATTTAACCCCTCTCTGAAAGGCGGTATAGCATCCATCAGCTCTGAGACTGATTTGGAAGCAAATTACCAAATTCCTTGCTGGCAGAAATGTTTGTTTGGGACAGCAAGTGCTGTTCTTCCAGGACACATTTGGTGATGCCCTGGCAATGTGCTCTGTAGCCTTTATTTATGGTGCCTGTGCCTTCTTCCCCCAGGCTTTATCACCTCTATAACCACTGGGTGATGCGAACAGCCACCTACTTCTTCATCTTCCTCAACCTGTCCCTTGCCCTGTTTGAGGAACCTGCTGTGTATCCGCTCCCCTTCCTGGTGAGTTTGTGGTGTAGGAGCAGCAAATGCAGCTGCTGGAGCCAGCAAGGGCTTCTTGCTTCGGAGTGGTTGTCACAGGTGCCAGGAGACAGTGGATGGTGATGTTTTTGTGGATAGCTTTGACCTCTGCTCTGGTGAGACCCCACCTGGAGAACTGCATCCAGCTCGAGGTCGCCAGCACAGGAAGGACATGGAAAGTTGGAGTGAATCCAGAGGAGGTCACCAAGTTGATCAGAGGGGTGGAACAGCTCTGCTGTGAGGAAAAGCTGAGAGAATTGGGGTTGCTCAGCCTGGAGAAGCTTCAGAGTGACCTAAATGACTCTTTCAGTACTTGAAATGGCTGACAAGAAAGATGGAGAAAGACTATTTCCAAGGGCCTGGAGTGCCAGGACAGGGAGGAATGGCTTCCCACTGGAAGAGGGCAGGATTAGATGGGATATTGGAAAGAAATTGAGGGTGTGAGGGTGGTGAAGCCCTGGCACAGGTTTGCCAGAGAAGCTGTGGCTGCCCCATCCCTGGAAGTGTTCCAGGCCAGGTTGGACAGGGCTTGGAGCAACCTGGGGTAGTGGAAGGTGTCCCTGCCATGGCAGGAGTGGAATGGGATCATCTTTATGGTCCCCTTCTACCCAGGTGATTCTGTGACTTTATAATTCTGTGATCTGTTTGAAATGGGGACAGAAAAGGCACAGGAGCTGGTCAGGGACTCTCGGAGCCATTGTGGCCACCAGCAATGGCTCCTGTGACTGTGGACAAAGTCATGTTGCTGTTCTCCATCTCGGAGCCCAATTCCAGCCTGCTTTGGGACTCAAGTCCAGTCCTCATGTGTGAAAGTAGAAGCCAAGTTTTACTTTAGGCCAGACTTTTCTGCAGCCTTTATTTGTCCTGCACCAGTGTGATTGTGAAAGATGTACTCCTTGAGTCCTAAGCAAACACAGACTTGCTGGCTTTAACCTGCCAGGTCTGCAAAAGGAAGCCTGAAAATATTGCTCTGCCTGTTTTTTATTGTGCAAAAAGGAATATTGCTGCTCCTGGTTGTGCTGGCTGAGCCCTGCTCTCCCTGCAGGCCACGTCAGTGCTGGAGGTGTTGTGCCTTCTGGTGTTCCTCGGCCGGCTGACACATTTTGCCAAAGTCACCCTGCACAACGTGTTCTGGAAGGACACCAAGAACATCTGCATCATGGTGGCAATCCTGGTGAGTTGGGCCCAGGGGAGGTGTTTTGTTTTTTTTTTTTTCTCCTCATGTTGCTTTCCTGGGATCCCAGACCTGGCATGGCCAAAACAACCAGCTATCACAAGCTTGTCTTGTGTGCACCTCTCCTGTATCAACAAACACTTCACTGTCTAGACACATCCCAGCATTACTTCTGGGAGCTTTCCTTCTTTCTCCTGCAGCTATCCCTGACAGACCTGGCCATCTATGGGGTGCTCAGGCTGTATGAGGTGAGGAGCATCCGGTGGTCAAGGATTGTGAGGCCCATCTTCCTCATCAACTTCGCAGAGAGTCGCCAGGTAAAGAAAAGGTCTAAGGTCCTGTTTTTTCAGACAGCCTGCTGCTTTCCACAATTCAGGGGATTTAGCAGAAAGGTTTTATGGCAGAATTTAGGGTCCTGTGAGGGAAGGTTTGTTTCAGAAGTGGCCTGAAGCAATAATTTGAGGTGGGCAAAAGGGCAGATTCAAACAGTACCACAGAAACCCCCTGTGTTTCTCCCTGAGTCAGGGACCAGGTTACTGATTTCTGGAAGTCTCCTGGGTAAACAAATGCCAATCCTGTAGTCTAGATTTGGACTCTGATTCCTCTCAGCATGGAGAGATCTTTGTCCTGCTGCCCAAGACTGGTCTGGTCCTGACTTACAAATGAATAAACTGTGATGTGGAGGCCTGGGGGAGGGAGCAGCTCAACATTTGGGCTCAGAGCCTGTGTTTTGTGGCCTGGAGCGATGGATTTGTGTCCCTGACTGGTTCCCTGCAGCAAGAACATCTCAGCAGTGCCCTGGGGCCCTCTGTCCCTTGGTGCCTGAGTTCACTGTGCTTTGTAGCTGGGGCCTTTCCTTCTGGGACCCCCCCTGCAGAACAAGGGAAAAGGCCTGGGATTCTTGCATCCCAGTTTAGGGGTTTGATCCAGGTGGGATGGTGAGGGGAAGAAGGGGTGCCACGTTGCCTCTGAACACTTCCCTTGTCCCCGGCAGATCCGGAGGGCCTTCCGCAGCATCCGCAACACGCTGCCGGAGATCACCTACGTCTTCCTGCTCTTCATGTTCAGCCTCCTCATGTTCTCCCTCATGGCCCTGAAGCTGTTTGGAGAGAGGTGTGGGTGCTTCCTTTGCTCCTGGGATACTCTGGGCAGGCTCCAGGCAATTCCTGGGGAATGCAAGCACCGCTGCTGTTGCGGGACATGTGATCCAAGTGCTTAACTCCAGGCTGTCCTCTTGCTCCTAGGAATCTCCAGACAGCAGAAGGCTTGCCCTACTTCAGAAACTACCTGGAGATTGTGTTTGACCTCTACGTGCTGGTGACAACAGCCAACAGCCCAGATGTCATGTATGGATGTCACGTGTGGATGATCAGATCCTTCCTCTCATAGTGCTCTCAGGGCTCTCTGTGCAGCCTCTAATTTGCACAGCAGAGTTAAAATTCTGTGGGTGTCGGGCTTTTCATCCCTATCTCTTCTGGGTTCCCATTGTAGTTTGTGCTGGGAAGGTGCTGTCAGGAGTAGGACAGGGAGGAAGGACTCGGTCATCCATGTGCTGGAAATATCTTCAGCACAACCGCAATGGTGCGGTGACCCTGGGAATTTAAACTGAGAAATAAAATGCTGCTCGTCCTAGAGCAAGTAGAAAAGCAGATGTGACTGCAGCAAGGGTCTGAGGCCAAAAAATAGCATCTGGCTGAGGTATTGCCTCATGTCTGCTCTTAAATTTGGCTGCACTGGCAGAGATTTCATCTCTGTGCTGTCTTCTGCTCCCCTTCAGTCAGGGCCTTGACAAGCCAGGATGGAAACGCAGCAGAAGAAGAGTGTTCTCTAAATGAACTAGTGCAGTTTTTAGCTTTCATCTGACAAGTTTGATCTGGCAGTCCAAAACAGCACTTGGAAATCCACGTGGTAGTCTGCTTTCTCGTGGGCTCACTTTTGTCAGTCTGGCAAGCAGCAATCCCTCTCCCCTTCTCTAGGATGCCAGCGTTTGACTTCAGCTCCTGGTACGCCCTGTTCTTCATTGCCTTCGTCATCGTCAACACTTACATCTTCATGTCTCTCTTCCTGGCTGTGGTCTACAACAACTACAAAAAACACCTGAAGGTAATGCCTGGAGGGGCTGCTGACCAGTGACTTCCTGCTGTTCTCTGTCAGGAGCCTCTGTCTTTCCCTTGGAAAGCTTTGAGAAGGGGAAAGAGCTTCTTGCCTTTGGTGTTCTGCAAACAACAAGCACAGACCCACTTCTCATATCATGGGGTTGTTGGGAGTTCTGCTGCTGGCATTGAATTAAATATTCTATGGTGTTTCCCACAGATAAGAAGCTCATTCTGCATTATCTTGGAGGCTTAGTCCTAGCTCAGGAATGCTGTCTCCATGCAGGGAACTGTTTTTTGCACAGCGTCTTTGCATGTGCTCTGAGAGCAAGGGAACTGGCAATGGGAGGGCTGAGTAAATCAGAATTTTTGTTCTACTCAAAATGGGCAGGGGGCTTGTGATCAAAGGAGGAAAGCTGGGAATTCCTGGGTGCTCCATGAGGAGGTTGGATCTTTCTCAGGAAGCAGAGTGCTGGATGACCCTCTGCTCAGTCATGTGCAGAAGAGGATCCCCACCCCTGCTCTCAGCAGGATTCACTGTGGATGGGAAGCATGTGTGGACACATCCTCTTTGCTTCTGTGGCCATGCAGATCCCGTGATCTTTGTCATCTCCTTCCTGTCTGACACTGCCCTTTGTCTTTCCTTCCGGTTTTTCAGTGTTGTCCAAGCATCCAGCAATCTGTTGATCCTTCCAGAGCTCAGTGTGGAGAACCCACAGCCTGTTAAACA